TCCCTGGCCATGCTCTGGGAGGGACGACTCCCTGACCGTGCTCTGTGAAGGGACAGCTCTCTGGCCGTTCTTTGGGGACGGCTTGATCGGGGGTGCCATGCTCGGGGGCGGCCCCACAAAAAGTGTGGGATCCGACCCATCCCTGGCCATGCTCTCTGTGTTTACCCGGGTTTGCTCTATGCTCTTGGCACAGCCGCTGGCCACGCTCGGTGTGGTTAAATGATGACGTGTCTCCAAATGAAAGGACGGTCTACGGAAAATATGGACCACACCACGTATGTACGCGAGCCCGAAACACATCACTTTTATGTAACTGTGTGATCGAAGAATAGAAAGGGTTGGAGCAGCCTGTTAATGTACGGCTGGTGTATCCGTGCTGCACAAATTAAGAGCCCTCTAAAGTGTAGTGCATCTTTGTGAAGCTGGCCACATCAGGCGTCCTGTTGGGGTTTTGAACCCGGCGGTGTGGGTCGTGCCGTTTCTGTTTCGCGGCTGGATGACGAAGATAGCACGTCCTTGCTCGCCAAAGTGGGAAGGGCCTGTTAGAGTGATTGTCTCCCAGCCCACTTTCCCTTGCACTTCTCGTTGGCTGAGAACACTGCTCCGGTATCCTTGGTAATTCCCGCGGTGCGCTGGTGCATCAGCCGTTTCCTGGAAGACGTGAAAAACATGCGTGGCGGGCGTAATTTACGCGAGGCAACGCCAGAGCGTGAATAATGAAGATGCATCGCCACTCTTGTAGCCATGAGATAAGACCTTTGTAGACTGCCAGGGCCATTTTGCTGCTGCACGCTTTGCAGCTGGTTTAGTTGTGTTAGGTCAAACGAATGCAGTCGGTTTAGTCATGTTGTCTCCGCATGGCCTCTTGTGCAAACGTTATGAATTGAGCTGTCCCGCTCAGGGCTTGCGCTTGCTTGTCTTTTGGTGTGTGACTGTGAGGGATTATGTTTGAATACGGACACGCGAGATGGCATGATGGCGCGATGTCACGCGCGGGTTGTACGCAGATGAGAGCGGCTCGCCTGGTCGAAGGCATCCGAGCGGTTCATGACGCCGGGTTCATATGCAGCACTGCTATGTTCGACACGGGTGATAGCGTGGGATGCCTTTGGTTTGATATGGTAATGCCAGGTTTTATGTTCGTGGTTTTTCAGCATTGCTTATTATCTATTAACAGCTGGCCTGCACGATGCCAGCCTACCAGCACGAGCTGTTTGGGAACATTGCATCAATGCCTAGGAAATATATAATATAATTGACATCGTAATATCGTACCTTTGAGCATTTTGGTCGTACATTGTAGGTTGGTTACTTCGCCATGGCAACACCTGGTATCTGGACCAGCCCCGTATTCTTCCTTATCGCCGAGTGTCGGTTGCCAGGTAAAAAATAAGGCTGAACCCCAGGCGTTGTCATGCGCCAGTCAGTGGCATCGCTGCCAGACGGATCGGACGGGCGAGTCGGTGTGCGGACAGATTTGTGTTCAGTGACGCATGCGCATACAGAGTTGTGTTGTTCAGCGGCGCATGCGCGGACAGAGATGCGTTGTTCAGCGGCGCCGCCAAAACATTAAAGGGACATCACCTTTTCTAGCGGGAATGCTGTAGTATGGTCGGATTCCACCACGTGCCATCGGTGCGGACAGACGGGCTCCACGCGTGCTGCTCTCTTCACTCTGGTGTCGCCCCCTCCCCCAGCCATGGCTCCGTTCTTGCGGCGCCTGGTCATGCCCACGGCTGTCTGTCACCGACGACCTTTGCATATTGGCCTCTGACAGGACGGGACATCTGATCCGGCGGACGATTTCTCCACGTTGTGACTCGTGACGCTGTAGAGGCTCCTGCAGCTTGCAGCCCCCCCCCCCCCCGTACACGGGTTTAAGCTGACACGGGAGATCTACACTCAGAGTGATGGGGCTACTGACAGAATTTTCTGAGGCACCTGGTCCATTGCTAAATGTGTAAAAATCTAAATTGATCTGGGCTGGTAGCTCGCGTCATCACGCGAGCAGTGTGTGTGCGATCCTAGCAGCGGAGCGCGTCAACATTTTGGACGTACGATATAGCAACCCAGCGAGGTGCGAGGCGGACAATCTCGGCCCGGCATTGGGCGGCGCGCTGCCTACTGTTGACGTAAGGCACCAAAGGATGCTGGCTGTATAAATTGTAAATAACGGTAGCCAAAAGCCTATTGATGTCTAAATTGACTTACGTTACGCCTTGTGTCACAATTCAGGTGGTGCAGCTGCGGCCAGTACAGTCTCATGAAGTTTCTGTCGCGAGGGAGCCCGCAGAGGCCGCGGCAAAGGCTCTGTCAGAATGTACGTGGCGGTGGTTGGAGTGCTGTAGATGCATGCCGTTTGTGTAAGAGTCTGGGGTCAGGTTTATTAAAATCTGCATTCAATGAGACTGATCTAAGACGGATTGGGCTTTTAGCCTTCTGTGTAGACATGTTGGGATATAAAGTAGTGAACAATGGGGGCCCGCCCTCCAGTTCATCCCACACCAGAGGAGAAAAGGCAGGATAAAATGCGTGGGTGTGAGGCGTACTGGCTAATTTCAGCGAGCTTAAAAGCAGCTGTCTTACACTTGGAGAAGTGGCACCACTATATCGCGCAGGTCGCCGCAGTCACCGCGGTGTTTCGCTGAGTGCAGCAGCGACACATGGCGTCGTACGATGAAGTTCAGCCACGCCGGCCGCCGTGTTAGTCAGAGATGGCGTGCACGTAGTGAAACGCAATGAAGCGGTCACGTCGGCCCTGGCATCTGTCAGTGATAGGGTAAGTCGCAACACAGACTGAAACACGGTCGGCTCGGTACCCACGTCATTCCGGCAGGTGAAGCCTCGTAGGACTACCCCCGGCACCTGCACAGTGGCCAGAGTAGAGGCCGGTCGCTTCATCGTCCTAAGGGTGATCGCACACGCTGAACGTGGCCACCCGTGTCGGTCGTCGGCGCCTCAATACACCGCGCGTCCGCACGCACACGGCGCCACGCGTGGCCGCCGGCGCGCGAGCCCCCTGCGGCGTGCGGGCGGGGCGGCCCGCGACCGGTCTGCGTCTCGGCGGGCTCGGCTCTTGTTTGCATTGGGATCGATCGGCGACGCTGGCCAGGGCGGAACCGGTCGCCGCGCCGGATCCGACACGGCCCGACAGCCGCGCCGGAGCAGGAGGCCCGACACGGCCCGACAGCCGCGCCGGAGTAGGAGGCCCGACACGGCCCGACAGCCGCGCCTCACCAGGCTGCACGGCCTCGCCGGCCGCTGTTGGGCTGCGGTTGGGCGTACCCGACGTGCAATCTTGATGACAGTCGGAGAGAGAGGCGCCCGCCCCGTGGTCAAGGCTCGTCACAGCTTCAAGGCGGTCGCGCCTGCTGTATGATACCGTCTGCTGCATTCCTTGCTTTCTGTGGGGTGTTGATTGCCGTTGGCAGGTGTCCACCTCCGTCTGCTGATCACCGGTGCTGCTTGGCTTGCCCGCCGAGGCCGTTGTTTGCCGCTGGGCGTGCCCTGCCCGCGGCGTTTCGTGCGGTTTGGTGGTGAGGGATCTGTTCGCATTCAGTGGTGAGTTGTTGACGTGCTATGTTTTGAACAGACATGCAGCAGTTTGCCACAAGTTACACCGGAATCCAGTCTGGGCTGCATCACACGAACGTGCATTTGCAGACGCGATTAGCTGGTTTTCCGCCTACTGCTTATGTCTGTGAAGCAGGAGCCACCGTCAAGCGCATGTTCTAGTAAACAGGATATGCACGAAGCCCGTCACGGACCGAAAGTAAAAACAGCTCAACATTTCATAACCTGAACTGCTTCAGCTGATCGAATGTGCAACACACGCACACGCGTCCATTTGTCCCAGCCGACAGCTTAAGCTGTGCGGTCTGGCGGTCTGTGTCTGCCCTGTCTCCATCGCCCCGCCGACCGGCACGCACGCGACCCGTCTGGGTGGCAGGCGGCGGCGGCGGC